CAACAGAAATACTCCAGGTGGACAACTTTAGCAATCAGGAGCTCCTCAGTTGCTCACAGCAAATCCCACCTTGGAGTTTACAAAGACTTATGGGTAGAAAAGCCACACTAAGTAATTTACTACACTGCACACATCTACCACTTCCAACAGAGAATGTTTATGTTCTTAGTCTGAAAAAATGTAGGCAACGTTAAAAAGTGGGATGTATGTAAAAGGGAGGAAGAGAACTAGGAATAAGCTATGTATATATACCCCACCAAAATCTCATCCGTCTCCACACCATAATGAATAATGCAAAGGGCTGCACTAAAATGCATCGTCTGATTTGCTCATTTTTCTTAACTTTAACATTCATGGTATGCATATACTAATTTAGCAACAAGCATCCTAATTAAAAACTTTATTTCAGATGCATAGGACCAAATGAGTCGGAAGGGACCACAACAAAGAGCTAAGTGCTTCTAGTCAGTTCCAATGTTGCATGTAGTTGATCTACTCAGCAGAATTTGCCACAGATGAGAGCTAAGATCCAACAAATGCTAATCTTGCTGGGAAGACTGTGAGCAAATAGACTAGAACATCTACTTACACATGCTGAGCTCCTCCTTCCTAATACCCGTGGAGGAGTCCTGGTGGTGTTGAGGTAAAAGCACTTGGCTGCTAACCAAAAAGTCAGCAGCTAGAACGCAACAGTTCTCTGCAGAAGAAAGATGTGGCAGTCTGCTCCCATAAAGATTTATAGCCTTGCAATGTACCAAATGTGAGTGATCAATACAGTGGCACTGAGGAAGATGACACAGAAGGTGCTTGGGAGGTACAGACAACAAAGATGAACCCTTTTGCACATATAGCACTGCATTGTCAGTGATGGCAAACACTGATCTACGGGTGGATAGATGGGTGAACAGGCTGAACGATTAGGTATGTCTATGCAGGGGGGAGTGTGCCCATGACCATGTATAGGGTTGGCAGTCAATGTTTCTATGAGTGTATTTGTACATTCTGTAAGAAGTTCTAGGTATATAGTAGAGCTGACAAGGGACAAGGTTGTAGTCGCTTCTTGGCCATAGCCAGCCACTCACAGGGAGCAAGTAGGTGGACCTATGGGCTCAGGACCATGGTCTCAGGAGACATCAAGCTCCATTGGCATAACATACTACAGAAAAATATTGTTCCGCCTCCTACTTTGGTGAGTAGCGACTGGGATCTTAAAAGCCTGCAAGCAGCCATCTAGATGCAACAACAGGTCTCTCCTCATCTAGAGCAAAGAATGAAGAAAACCAAAGACACATGGAAACAATTAGCCCAAGGGACTGGTACACCATACGATCCTCAGCCTATATGACTATGAGACCAGAAGAACTAGATGGTGCCCAGTTAACACTGTTAACTACTTGGAGGTGGATCTAGTAGGAGATCCTGGATACAGTAGGAGAACAAAGTGGAACAAAACTCAAAAATCACATACACAAAAAAAGGGGGACCAGGTTTGCTGTTCTGATAGAGCCTGGTGGAACCACTGAGACTATGTATGGCCCCTAGCTGCTTTTCAGGTCTGGGATTGAACCCACTCCTGTGGCTTCTAGCCAAACAAAAGACAGGCATATGAGCTGAGCATTTACCTGAAGTAGATACACTCCTTGGAGAGATCATGGGTGAACAGAAGGACTGTGTTTGCACAGGGAGACAGCTCGGGGGGAAGGAGTACATGGGAGAGAAGGACACAGGGAAGAGGTGGCTATGGGGAGGAAGTGGGAGGAGAGCTGTTGCACTGCAGGAAATTACATCAATGTCATGAGAGAAAGTGTATGTAAACTGCTGCATGAAACATGAATTTGCTCTGTAAACTTTTACCCAAATCACAGTAAAATTAAAATAAATAAATAATGATTTATAGCCTTGGAAATGCTATGGCCAATACTTTAGGTTCACTGAGTTGGAATCAACTTGACTGCCATGGGTTTGGTTGTTGGAATACATGGCTGCAGAATAAAGCTGCTTCTCCATATAGGATAAAGTAGGCTGAAAAATGTACGCCAACATTCACTCAGGTATTACTGATGGCCCAGGTGCTAGAAAAAAAGCTAACTCCAGGCCAGAGGCCTTCCAAAACATGGAAGAAGGGCTACTGGGCTTCTCCTCAAACCCTAAGACCAAATCCATTACCATAACTTTCCACACAGGCTTATTGTATAAGCAGTTTAACACATGTTCAAAAATTCATTAAGAGCTATTACAAGAAGAAATAAAGTACCATTTTCTAAGCATTTTGGAAGTACAATGAGATAATTAATGAATTAAGACTGAATTAATAATTAATAGTAAATGAATGCTGAACCAGGAGTTTAAGAACCTGGGTTCCAGACCTTATTCTGATACTACTTCACCATGTAGGCCTGAACAAGTCAGCTTCCCTTTGTAGGCCTTAGGATCCTCATTTATAAAAGAAAATGAATAGCTTACACTATCTGAGGTCTAGGGACCCTTCTGGATCTAACATGTTTCTTCCATTACCATTTAATGCAAAGAAAATAATCTGCAAGGAGTGGTTAAAGCCACCGCTCACAGATGGACCTCTTCAAGCAAAGATGATCACATGGAGTCTCTACTCACATCCAAAACTACAAATATCACCGTGAAGGCCAAAAGAAGTTTAAATAAACAGTATGCAGTAGGATAAAGATGTCCAGAAGCTCTTTTCTGTGATGCACCATCCCATCATTAATCATAACCATAGTAAGTAACACTACCTCCAATTTCGCAGGCATTTAGAACTTGTAACTGTGTCATTATTTCTTCCTCACTTGCCTGAATTTGATCAAGCAAATCTGCAGTTGTATACTGAAACAGAAAAAAAAAAAAAAAAACCTTTAAGGGCTCTTAAGAATTATACCTTTTAGATTTCTTACTGAATTTTGGGGAATAAATATATAGGACCAATTAAAGCTGTGTTTCTCCACTAGCTCAGTTTCTTCTATTGATGAACAAAGATTACTACACTAACAACTCAACTAGGGTATAGACTAGGGCATAGCAATTTTTTAAATATACCACCCAAAAAAGACTTGGGAATTTTGGTCACTGGGTGCATCATCCTTTTCTCCCCCCTCTATAGAAACACAGGAGCTCTGGTAGCATAGTGCCTAAGGCACGTGACTGCTAACCAGAAAGCTGGAGGTTCAAACCCACCAGCCACTCATCGGAAGGAAGATGGGGCAATCTACTTTCATAGTGATACTGCCTCAAGGAAGGGTCGCTATGGGCACATAACAACAACAACATAGAAACATAAAGCACAGTGGCAAATTTTCATGAACTTGGATTTGGCAATGACATCTTAGATGTGACACTAAAAGCAACAGAGATAGAACTGATAAAATGGACTTCATCAAAACAAAAAACAGTTGTGCTTCAAACACCACCAAGTAAGTGAAGACAACGGACAGACTGAGAGAAAATATCTGCATATCATATATCTGTTGTGGGACTTGTGTCTAGACTATTTAAAGAACTGTTACAATTCAATCAAAAGATAAAAAATCCAATTAAAAACTGGGCAAATGACTTTAGACATTTCTCCAAAAAAAGATACATGAATGGCCAATAAACACATGAAAAAAAAAAAAAGTTAAACATCATTAATCATCAGAGAAATGTAAATCAAAACCAAAATAAGATGTCACTTCACACCCATTAGTTTGGATGTAATCAAAAAGACAGAAAACACAAAGTGTTAGAAAAGATGTGGAGAAATTGGAACCCTCATACACAGCTGGTGAGAATAAAGATGGTACAGCCACTTTGGAAAAGTCTGGTAATTCTTCAAAACATTATACACAGAGTTACCCACAGAGTTACCCCATGACCCATCAATTCCACTCTTAGTTATATATCCAAAGGAAAATTTGTACACAAATGGTCATTGTATCACTATTTATAAGAGTCAAAAAGTAGAAACAATCTAAATGTCTATCAACTGATGAATGGATAAATAAACTGTGGTATAAGGGCCTCTGGTAGTACAGTTTGGCAGTTCAAACCCACTAGCCACTCCTTGGAAGGAAGGTTGGGCAATCTACTTCCGTAGTGATACTGCCTCAGCAACCCAAGGAGGGGTCGCTATGAGTCAGGTCTGACTTGACGGCACATAACAACAACAACAACAAAAACTTCTAATTTATTTTTACTTAGTCTATAAATATTCTTTCACATTTCCAGGAACTGTTCAATTTTGACATTAGAGCAAGAATATATTCCATTTTCATAATATCTTCTCTTAAGAGAACCTAATTGTATTTTCCAATTCAGTAAAAATTAATTTAACCTCTAAAAATATTATCATTTCATAGTTAGGAACATGAGAAGTTTTCAGCTATATAAACATCACCATGATATCAGAGATTTGTTTAAAAATACTCTAGAAGAGGAGAAAAAATGTGGGGGCAAATAGAAGAAACAACACTGACAATGTGGGTAAGTGTCCAAGCTGAGTGATGAATGTTTGGGAGTCATTACGCTACTCTGTGCTTTGGGGTATGTTTGAAAATTTCACTGCCTACTTACAAAAATGGGAATGTCACCATGAAGTGTCTCTAATTATAGTTCTACTGTTAAATCCCAAATGAAAAATATGAAAGTAATTGTCTTACTTTTGGGTGATCTGAATCCTTTTCTTTTTGACTGTCGGGTCCTTCATAGGAATTTTGCATTAAAAGTTTCTTCAGCTTCTTTAATTTAGGTCTACATCTTCTTAATTCCCAGTAATTGTTAGAAAAACCGAAAATCTAGAAATGATAAAGATATTATAACCTTCTACAGACCTTCTAGAAGAAAATTCCGTTTAAAATGCCAACTAACCCATCTGCTTGTGACAAAAAGCAAAAGAGCGCTAAGCTATCTCGATTTCTGTTGGGCAGACATGATCCAGGCATCTCAAGCAGGTATCTCCAGGAAACATCCTTTCACACCTCAGTTAAGAAAACACTGCCTAAACCAAAAATACCCCCAAAATCTTCTTAAAACCAAATGCTGGTTTGGTTTAACTAGTAAAGAATTTTTGCCTTGAGGGATATGCTCTGTTAAGAATTATCTAGATGGGATCAAAGGGACAAACAGCAGCTCAAAAGATAAGACTGGAACCTTCTGCAGCAAGGAGTTTCCATTAACTGGGGAGGATCAACTCGGACAAGAGAAGAGGGTGAGAATGGCTGCAGGACCCGAAGAAAATGATTAATGTCGCTGAATTGTACACGTACAAACTGTTGAATCAGTGTATGTTTTGCTGTGTATATTCTTAACAACAACAAAAATAATACAAATTATTAAAAAAGAAAACACCAGACCATACCATGTTGTTGTTATTTGCCGTCGAGTCGGCCCGACTCATAGCGACCCCTCCTTGGGTTTCCGAGGCAGTATCACTACGGAAGTAGGATTGCCCAACGGCAAATAACAACAACATGGTATGGTCTGGTGTTTTCTAGTGGGAGCCAATTAATTGAGCTTTTATCTCACATGTACCCTCAGAACTAGAGTGGCCAGAATTACAATTATGCAGTGGGGAACAACTGAAAGTGGGTATAAAGAAGACATTTTCAAAGTCTTCAAATAATGAAGGATGCCAAACAGAAGAGGGGGTACCCTTGTTCTCTGCTGCCCATTATCTCACAATTAAGCAGTGTGAAAGGAGACAGACTTTTATTCAATGCAAGAAGATTCTAACACTTAAGAGTTGCAGCTAATCCTACTGTGAAAGTTGGGAAACAGTGAGAGTCCAATCACTAGAAGAGTTCCAGCTGATACAGGCTAGATGATGGATAGGTACCTACTATTTGCCTCTGTTATCTCCAGGAATAGGAGTTCTGGTGAGGCAGTGGTTAAAACATTTGGCTGCTAACCAAAAGGTCAGCAGTTTGAAAGCACTGCTCCATGGCAGAAAGATGCAGCAGCCTGTTACTGTAAAGATTTACAGCATTGGAAACCCTATGGGACAGTTCTAATCTCTCCTAAAGGGTCCCTATGAGTCACTCTAGGGTAGTGGGTTCGATTTTTTTTTTTTTTGTATCTTCAGAACTTGCCCGGTATCTGGCACATAGTAGGTGCTCAAGTAGTGTTTTGTGAAAGAAAAGCAAAAAATTGAACTAGATTATCTTTGGGGTGTCTTTCAACTCTAAAATGGAAGAACCAGGGGTGCTTCTATTCTCAAATGAGTGTAAGAGTTGATTGGTAAGATGAGGCCCAGAGCCTGGAGGAGATGCTGCCAATCTCATGCCAACAATGCGGAGCTCAAGGACCAAGCCAGGAAGCTTTAGCCACAGCTCACCAATTGGCAGACCGCTGATCATATCCAACACAAAGATGGTGATGTTCGTGTGCACGTGCATGCAACTGCGTGTGTTGAGAGAAACGGGAGGTTTGGCATTGTGCTTGAATCACCAGCATCGAAAACTTAGGTCTTAACTCAAAAAAGTCCAAATTCCAAGCTTTCCTTGGAAAGACAGAAACCAGATCTGGCACTACTGAGTCCTCTTCTCCCCTTTTACTTGGGGTACATATGTTCCAATTTGCTATAGACACCAACAACAGAAAAAACAAACTCATTGCCATTGAGAAGAACTGCTCCATTGGGTTTCCAAGGCTGTTTATCTTTACAGAAGCAGATTGGCTTCTCTTTCTCCCATGGAGTAGCTAGTGGGTGTGAACTGCCAACCTTTTGGTCAGTAGTCCAATGCCTTAACCACAGTGCCACCAGAGCTCCTATGCTAGAGATACCACCACTCCCTAATACTGCTGAGACTGGGTATCCTCTAGCACCTATCAGCCCCAGCCTCCTGTGCTCATCTGCATTCTTCGTTATTTCACTTATCAAGGCAGCTCCAACACGTGGTTACCCCACATATGTCAGAACAAAGTGTTGCCTGGTCATCTTTAGGATGCTCGAGCTCACTGTTGTAGCCACTGTGTATCTCGAGTTCCTTCCCACTTAGGGGGTTCATCTTTCAGCACTGCATCAGATAATATTCTGCTGTGACCCCCAGGGTTTTCATCTACTTTTCAGAAGTAGATCACCAGGCCTTTCTTCCTCTTAGTCCGGAAGCTCCACTGAAACCTGCCCACCACGGGTGATCCTGATGGTATCTTGAAATACCAGGGGCATAGCTCCCAGTAGAACACACAAGCCAGCACAGTATGGCGAACTGACAGACGAGTGGTGGTGGTCTTCATTCTTCACCAAAGCCCTACACACATCTTACCTGCAACGGTGGATTAAGACCTTGACTAGTGCACCCTTGCTTAGTTTTGCCTAATCTCCAGGCACAAAATTCATATAACATAGATGAAAGATCAAAGGCACCAACGGGTATTACTTACCCTCGAAGAAACGCCTACAAAACAGGCAAGTGATGGGAAGGTATCCTTATTTTTAAAAAGGATGAATTGCCAATATTTCCAGTTAATTACACTGAAAGACTTCTGTCACAGAGCTGTTGGGGGGGTTTGAACAGCCAATGTTTCAGTCACTAGCTGATTACTTAACTGTTACACCACCAGGGTTCCTTGAAAGACTGATAATCGTAACACCAAAACCCAAATTTACTGGCAAGTCTTCTGTTCTAGTTACATCATGTGAATCACTGAGCTCCCCAGCATTTTCCCATCTTTCTACACTGCTTCTATTTTGAAGGAAGTGGTTGACCAGAAGTCATTTTGAACTAATTAAGGGCTCTGCTTTGATTGTTAGGTGTGTGGCAACCTAAACAGCATGGAGACCTCTGTTTGGTAACAGCCACCCATATTCTCCAAAATAATTAAGAATCTGTCTTGGGTATACATATTAATGAGCTAAACCAACTTTAAAGCTAAAAGCTACACTTCCCTAAAAAACTCCAATTTCTTCATTTCTTTACCTCCTAAGTATCACCAGCTAGGATTTGAGAGAGTCCCTTTCAAAACAGTACAGAGAAATTTACTGAAAATAGGTAAAACATTCTGAATGATTCACCTCACAGCAAACCTACTTGATAGACACCTGTCTGGGAGCTCTGCTGGCATAGTGCCTAAGGCATGTGACCACTAACCAGAAGGCTGGCGGTTCAAACTCACCAGCCACTCCTTGGAAGGAAGACTGAGCAACCTACTTCCATAGAGATACCACCTTGGAAACCCAAGAACCCAAGGAGGGGTCGCTATGAGTAGGATCTGACTGGATGACAGGTTTGTTTGTGTTTGTGTGTGTGTGTGTGTGTGTGTGTGTGTGTGACTTAAAAGTCAAACTGGGAAAGTTAACTTCAGAACATTTCTAAACAAACAAAACTTGCTGAGAAATTTCAAACATCACTGAAGAAATTTTTTGAGCTTCCCTGTGATTACCGTTTCCCACCTAATGCTCTTAACTCTCCTTCTTAGGTAAGTCAGCAAGGTGATGATAACAACAATACCTCAGTGTGAATAATGTTACATTGTGTTTCTTCTGTCTTCAGTTGGTCTGGAGTTTTACAACCAGGAATAAAAAGCAACATATTTGAAGTATCTGCTATTTTCAAGTCATATGTTTTATCCTGACTGCATAGCACAGCCTGTTCATCTTTATCACCACGAATCACAAGACTGCAGGAAAATGAGAAAAAAGAAAAGGTATGGTTAAGACTCCACTGGACATCTTCATTATAAAGAATATCAAAAACCTAGAGGTTTGTATATTTAAAAAGAAGACTTGAAACTGCATCTGGGCCCTGCTCTCACAGCCCTGCACAATGAGGGGTTCCCGGAGTAAGCACTGGACCAATAAAGAGCTGAATGGAAGCTACAGAAAAAGAACTAAACAGGGGCAAGGGAGAGAGGCCCCTGGCTGGTACAGTTTGCACTTGGCTACTCATTGAAAGGATGGCGGTGCAAACCCATCTGGTGGCACTGAGAAAGAAAGGCCTGGCAATCTGCTTCCATACAGATTACAGCCAAGAAAACTCTATGGCGAAGTTCTACACTGTAACACATGGGGTCACCACAGATGGGAAGGTAACAGGTTTGCTTCAGTCAAGACTCATCACAATTTTCCAGAACATGCTAAGTGGCACCTCTCAAACTTTCTGGGCAAGTATTTTAGGAATCTTGTTCAAAAGCAGATTGGGATTCGGTAGGTCTGGGATGAGGCCGGGGAGTCTGCATTTCTAACATGCACCCAGATGATGCCCTTGCTCCTGCTCCCGGCAGCAAAATGCTCAGGTAAGAAGAGCCTGAGACAAAGGAAAAGTGTCAGACATGGCAAAAACAGGCCAGAGAAGTGAAAACTACATCTCGAAAAAGGGGAAAGTTCGAGACCCCAACTCACCCAAGAGTGCTCCTTCTTGCTTTGCTCTGACTACCACCTAAAAATCAAAGGAGCACATCCTGGTCTCACCATCAGTTCCGCTACAAAAGAACAGACCTTACCAAAGAAGGCTGTAAAGCTGAAGGAGAAATAGGAAAAGGATGTTTACCAACTAGACTAAGGGAAAGCCTCTAATGTGGGAAAAGCGTTTATCAAGGCTAAGAAAAGCGAGGAAGAGAAGGATGAAGGTGAGGAGAGAAAAACCCTAAACCCGTTACCCTGGAGTCAGTTCTGATGCATAGTGACCCTATAGGACATAGTAGAATTGCCCCATAGGGTTTCTTAGGCTGTAATCTATACAGAAATAGACTGCTACATCTTTTCCCCAGAGAACAGCTGTGGGTTTGAACCACCAACCTTTCAGTTAGCAGCCAATTGCTTAACCACTGGGCAACCAGGGCAAGGAGAAAGGAAGGCTAAAGACAAAGAGGATGGAGACAGCAACAAGGAAGTTTTTCATCTTTATAAAGTGCCTAAGGAGCTCTGGTAGCATAGTGGCTAAGACACTTGCCTGCTAACCAGACGGCTGGCGGTTCAAATCCACCAGCCACTCCTCGGAAGGAAGGTTGGGCAATCCTACTTCCGCAGTGATACTGCCTCGAAAACCCAAGGAGGGGTCGCTATCAGTTGGGTTTGACTTGACGACACATAACAACAACAACAAGGAGCTCTGGTGGTGCAGTGATTAAGGCATTCAACTGCTAACCCAAAGGTCGGCAGTTTGAACCCACCAGCTGCTCCACAGGAGAATGAGGACGTAATCTGCTTTGATAAAGATTTACAGCCTGGGAAACCTTCTGGTTTCCCAGGTAGGAAACCTGACCTGGTCCTATAGGGTGCTTTCAATCTACTAAATTGCAGTGCATTTGGGCATAAAGTGTCTGACTCTCCCAAACGCAACTTGCTTCTTCTACATACAATAACAAAAACCCTGAACTGTGCATCTTCTTAAAGCTGAGTTTTCATTTACATGAAAAGAATGAAAGTTTTGGTGTTTTTTTTTTTTTTTTTTTTTAAACTTCCTGAGGAGCTCTTGTGGCGTAGTGCCTAAGGCATTTGGCTGATAACCAGAAGGGTGGCAGTTCAAACCCACCAGCCACTCCTTGGAAGGAAGGTTGGGCAATCTACTTCCGGAGTGATACTGCCTGGGAAACCCAAGGAGGGGTCACTGTGAGTCGGATCTGACTCGATGACAATGCATTTGGGGGTTTTTTGGTGCTAATAATGTTTAATAGCTCAAAGTACCTACTCTTTATATCCACATTATCTTATCCTTGTTTGGAAATATTTTGTTTATTCCAATGCCCCTTCAAAACCTTTCTAAAACACACATTTCCATGACCCCCTTGTTTTTATTGGCTAGATGAATTATAATGGACAAAGAGAATGTCCCTCACCTGAAGTCTTTTTTCAAAGCCCTACCAACTTGCTTGGAATGATAATGAACGTGTGAAGCCCTCCTTCCCTTAAAGACTGTGTGGCTAATACCCGAAGGCAGGCCAGTTAGCTCCAACACACAGCACTGCAATAATATAGTAGTGTCTGATGCATAAAAAAACTGAAAGACAGCCTAGAGGTTCGATTAAAAGAAATCTTCAAGAGAAATAACAACCTAATCAAATACAGATGTTGAAGGAACAACAGCCCAGAAGAGAATCAAGCAGAGCTCCAAGCCCCTAATTTCCAGGATTTTGGACCGCACTGTATTGATAATCTAGACTTCATCAAGACTGCTTTCAAGTACCACCTCACCTTTGACTGTTTTCATCCATGGTCTTGTTGCAAATGAGTAGCTCATTGGAATCAGAGCCCCTTTGAGTGACTCCCAAGCAAACCCCTTTCTTTGAGCTTTACTCTATTAACTAGGGCTGTGATAGTCCTTTAAACTCATTCCCCACACATTTTACCTCTAATCTGGGTAACTTATAAATTAATATAAGTTAGAAAGTTAGAAGAATTCTAGAAATATTACCACCATATTTTAAGTGGAATGTTAGCATTCTGTGGAGCCCTTGGCATCACTGTTAACATCTTTAAAACTTTAGCAAAGAAACTCCAAACCCATTGGCATCATGTTGATTCTGAGTCACAGCAGCCCTAAAGGGCAGAGTTGAACTGCCCCATAGGGTTTCCAAGGCTGTAAATGTTTACAATAGCAGACTGCCACATCTTTCTTCCAGAGAGCGGTTGGTGGGTTCGAACAGCCAACCTCTCGGCTAGCAGCCAAGTACTGCACCACTAGGGTACTGTTCAAAACTTTCCTGAGGTTTTATTTCCTGATCTGTTGCCAAGATCAACTAGACTTATCCTATTTATTATTTATCGTTAGGCCAGCTAAGTGAACAGACTAGCAGAGGTGTGGAATCCTGGGAAAAAGCAGTGTGCTGGGAACCTAGCCACCAATGTGCTGTTTGCCCCTGGCCAAATCAACGCCTCTCCCTGGATCTGTTTGCTCGTGCCGAGTTTTCCTGCAGCGCTTGCCAGACGGCGAGTGCAGGGCGCTTCACGCCGGCCGCGCGGAGCAGACCTGGGGCCAGGCCCCACCTCACCTGTGTCCAGCCTCCAGCTGCTGGCACAGCGCAGGCTCCAGCTCCAGCAGGCAGAAGTCGCCGGCAGCGGCGCCGCTGGCCCTGGGTCCGAAGGCCAGGCAATGCACGGCCGGGAGCAGCTCGGCTGCGTTCAGCTTGGCCACGTGCAGCGTAGCGTCCACCTCCTCACGGGTCCTCTTCATCGCTGCGCAGGGGCTGGAAGCCTAGTGGACAAAAAACGAGACGCCCAAACGATCGGACCCTAAGAAACGGACAGGAAATAGCAGAGGCTGTTTCAAAAGCGCGCCAAAGTGCTGGCGGCTAGAGCGAGTTTCCGGGGCGGAGCGCCCCTGTCCCTGGCGGGGCTTCTCACTGCGCAAGCCCCGCCTCCGTGGAGTAGCGATTGCTAGGAGGAATCACGGCTTGCCCCGGCTGTTTCCAGGGAAGGTTGCTGGAGTAGAGCTGCAACTTCGCGTGGCGTGGCGTGGCCTGGGACACTTCTCTGCTGCCCCCACGCACACCATTCCCCTTGTCCCCGCTTATTTCCACCTTCTTGTTTTCTAGCGGTGGGTTTGGTTGTGTAGGAGACCTCCACCTCTTACATGGAATATTCCAGGCTGCTAGAGTTGAGGTCTCAGGGTGAGAAAGAGTTCTAAAGGAGGCTGAATAAGGTCTAATGGGTTCTCAATAAGCACCCCTGGAAGTTCACAACTATGCAATCGTTCACGGATGTGTATATATTGATGAACTTCTCTCCTGAAACTCTGTTCTCTTCAGTTACCATCCTGCTGACAGCAGGCTTGACTCACGGCAAGCTCCCCCGGGTTTTCAATGGCTGGTTTTGTGGAAGTAGATTCCGGATCTTGGTTCTGAGTTGCCTCTAGGTGGACTCCAACAGCCAAGCTTTCTGTTACCACCAAGGAATGTCAGTTCTATAGTCAGGTCATTGTCAAATTTAATTGATAACAGACTTAGAGAAAGTCCTAGAGAAAGTGGGCAGCTTGCATAGCCTGCAGTGGTGAGTTGGCTTGTCTCCTCTAGGTTATTGTTTACTATAACACAGTAAGAAGGATAGGAACAGATTGAGAGCAGGGAGCAGTTCTGTTGTAGGCACGTTGAGATGAGATGCACAAGGAAGCTTCCCTTTCACCATACTTACTCAATCTGTATGCTGAGCAAATAATCCAAGAAGCTGGACTCTATGAAGAAGAACATGGCATCATGCTTGCAGGAAGAATCATTAACAACCTGCAATACGCTGATGACACAACTTTGCTGAAAGTGACAATAACTTAAAGCACTTACTGATGAAGACTGAAGAATACAGTCTGTAGTATGGATTACATCTCAATATAAAGAAAACAAAAATCCTCACAACTGGACCTATAAGCAGCATCATGATGAGTGGAGAAAAGATTGGAGTTGTCAAAGACTTTACATTGCTTGGTTCTACAATCAACACCAATGGCAGCAGCTGTCAACATCAGACGACGTATGTTGTTATGTGTCATCGAGTCAGACCCGACTCATAGCGACCCCTCCTTGGGTTTCCGAGGTGGTATCACTACGGAAGTAGACTGCCCAACCTTCCTTCCAAGGAGCTGTTGGTGGGTTTGAACCGCCAGCCCTTTGCTTAGCAGTCAAGTGCCTTAGGCACTATGCTACCAGATGACGTACAGCACTTGGCATATCGGCTGCAAACGACCTCTTTCAGTGCTGAGGAGCAAAGATGTCTCCTTGAGGAGTGAAGTGCCCCTGACACAAGCCATGATGTTTTCAATTGCTTCATATGCATGTGAGAGCTGGACAATGAATAAGAAAGACCAAAGAAAAGTTGATGATTTTGAGTTGTGGTGCTTGTGAAGAATGCTGACAGTGCCATGGACTGCTAACAGATCTGACAAATCTGTCCTGGAGGAGGTGCAGCCGGAATGCTCCTTGGAAGCAAGAATGGCCAGACTTCGTCTCACCTACTTTTGTCATGTTGTCAGAAGGGACCATTCCCTGGAGAAGGATGTCATGTTTAGTAAGGTGGAGGGTTGACGAAAGAAGGTTATGCCTTCAATGAGATGGATTGACACAGTGGCTGTGGCGATGGGGTCAAGTATAGCAAGGATCATGGAGCTGGCGCGGGACCGGGCAGTGTTTGGTTCTGCTGTGCATGGGGTCGCTATGAGTCAGCGATGACTCGATGGCACCTAACAACAACAACGAGGAAGCTATAAGGAGTCCTGATGGCACAGTGGATATAGTGTTTGGCAGCTAACCAAAAGATCAGCAGTTCAAACCCACCAGATCCTGTGCAGGAGAAAGACAGCAATCTGCTTGCATAAAGATTTATAGCTTTGAAAACCACAGGGGGAGTTCTACTCTGTCCTATAGAGATGCTATAAGAAAAAAAAAAAAAAAACCAAACTAGGACCTCTGGTGGCATAGTGGAAAAGGCATTTGGCTGCTAACCAGAAGGTCAGTGGTTCAAGCCCATTAGCTGCTCTCTTGGGAACATACAAGTGAGGGCATTCAGTAGTTTGTTGTGAAGTTGAATCTAGATATTGGTGTTCAAACAAAAGTTTGGTCAAGAGTTAAAATATAATCCTTTTAAAGAAGGAAAGTCAGGAATCGAAGGAGGAACTAGAATATGTGGCTAATTGCCTCCATGGCTACTGTCTCCTTTGCCATGAGATCAGAAGGACTGGATGGTGCCCACCGGTATACGATTACTGAACATTTTGATCAATAATTCTGTAGAAATAGCCTGATGAAGAGGGGCAAAATGTGGAACAGAATTTCAAATTTTCCTGGAATCCATCCAGACTTTCTGGAATTCACTGAGGTTGGATGACCCTCCCAGAAACTGTTGCTTCAAAGTAATGTTTAAACCTGAAACCAAAACTATACCCTGAAGTAACTTTTAAACCAAACAATAATTTAGTTTAATCAGTAAAGAATGTTGCCCTGAGCATTATGCTGTTCTAAGGAATGATCTATATGTGATTAAAGGAACAACCAAAACAAACAAACAAACAAACTCACTGCTGTGGAGTTAATAGCGACTCTTAGCGACCCCTCCTTGGGTTTCTGAGGCAGTATCTCTATTGGAAGTACATTGCCCAATCTTTCTTCTGAGGAGTGCCTGGTGGGTTTGAACTGCCAGCCTCTGGTTAGCAGTCAAATGCCTTAGGCACTATGCCACCAGTTGTTGTTGTTATGTGCCATGGAGTCGGCTCCTACTCATAGCAACCCCTCCTTGGGTTTCCAAGGCAGAATCACCATGGAAGTAGATTGCCCAACCTTCCTCCAAAAGTTAGATGAGAGGCTTAGGACAGAGTAGAAGTGTCCCATAGAGTTTCCTGCGCTGCAGTCTTTATGGAAGCCAACTGTCACATCTTTCTCCCATGGAGCGACTGGTGGATTCAAACCGCTGACCTTGTGGTTAGCAGCTGAGCACTTAACCACTGTGCTCCTTGGTAAATGGTTATGAAACAATCAAGATGTTCTCCACTAGATGGTGGTATTGTTTCACGGTTCACAGAGTAGCTTGTTTTGCTTTTCAGTTCTCTGCTGCCTTAGAAAAGGAAAAAGAAGAGCTGTTTATTAGATATTTACTGAGTCAAGCTCTGTGTACAGTATGCATGCTATATCATTTATTTGATCTCTGAAATAATGTAAGTCATATTTTGACATACTCCAATGATTTCCTTTCTCTTTCAGAACAAAAACCAAAGTTCTTACTAAGCATAAGGCCTACTAAGCACAGTCCCAATAAGCACTCCCATCCCCCACCCTTTGCTATTCTTTGAACATGCTGGGCTCTCTCCTATCTCAGGGCTCCTCTGTTTTTCAATCAACCTTAATTGGTAAGATTGTTACGGTTGACTTATCAGTCAAGTGAAATACACTGTATCCAATTAAAGTGTTGATTTGATGAGTTTTCACATATCACCCTCAGCTCAAGGTGCAAAACCTTCCCATCACCCTCAAGAGTTTGTTTGTGACCCTTAGAAAAAGAAAGGAGGAATGCTTAAATAATTATTTCATCTTACTTTGGGTTGATTTTATTTATCTTTTTCTGGCTTCTTATTGCATTTAGATTTTTCTCTTTTCTATTATAAACATTTAAAACTATGATGTTTTCTCTAGGTCCTGCTTTATAGCTGCATCCCACAAATTTTGATGTGATCTTTCATTATCACACAGTTCAAAAGTATTTTTAAATTCTCTTTATAATTACTTCTTTGAACCATGGATTTAGAAGAGGGGTGTTGAATTTCTAAATATTTGTGATTCCATTTTATTGATTTTTAATTTAATTCACTATGGTTGGAGATACATTCTCTGTGATTTTAATCCTTTCAAATTCATTAAGACTTATTTTATGGCCCAGCATATGGTCTTTCTTGATGAATGTAACTATTTGTTTCCTATTCATTATTTTGCCCCCCCCATTTTTTCTGCCCTCTTTTGAGTTACATAAATAATATTTAGAACTCCATTATAATTTGTCTATTGGCTTTTTAGCTCTTCTTTTATATATGTAAGGAGACCTGTTTGCACAGTGGTTAAAGCTCTCAGCTGCTAACCAAACGGTCAGTAGTTTGAACCCATCAACCACTCTGCAGGAGAAAGATGTGGCAGTCTGTTTCCATGAGGATATGTTGTTGTTAAGTGTCATTGTTGTTGTTATGTGCCATCGAGTTGGACCTGACTCATGGCCACCCCTCCTTGGGTTTCTGAGGCAGTATCACTACGGAAGTACATTGCCCAACCTTCCTTCCAAGGAGTGGCTGGTGGATTTGAACCTCCAGCCTCCTGGTTAGCAATCAAGTGCCTTAGGCACTAGGCTCCCAGAGCTCTTGTTAAGTGCCATGTTGTTGTTGTTGTTATGTGCCTTCAAGTCGGACCCGAGTCATAGCAACCCCTCCTTGGGTTTCCGAGGTAGTATCACTACGGAAGTAGATTGCCCCATCTTCCTTCCTAGGAGTGGCTGGTGGGTTTGAACCACCAGCCTTCTGGTTAGCAGTCAAGTGCATGATACCAGGAGCTCCCTTTTAAGTGCCATAGCAACCCTATATACACAGAACGAAACACTGCCTGTGTTTCAGACCTCCTGTGCTGTCCACATAGTAGTTCTTATGATTTACCGCATTGTCGCAGCCACTGTGTCATTCAGGCATGATGTCTTTCTCCAGGGATTGGTCCCTTCTGATAAAATGTCCA